ATGAAATATTCAGCCAGGGTGTAAAAGCTCTAAATGCTTTCTCAATTATTAGCACCTGCACTGGCTGCATACATCTAACACTAACAGCATGTTAATTGCCACAATTTGTTAGGGTAGTTGTAGGAGAAATTTCAAAAGCGTGAGGCATTCTCTAGCGTGTCTTCAGTTCCTATCTCACCTTCAGCAAACCCGCTCCTTCCTCCTAAAATCAAGTACGTGTGTGTGCATACACGCGCAAACACACATCCACATCCAAAGTCAGGGAGGAAAACTCAAAATTCCTGGCCCGCACACAAGGTGACTTTGAAGGCCCCGAATCTCGAGCAGTAGACTTTTTGTGGGCAAAACCCAGATTTAGTATATCTACCTGAGAAAGGCCTAATTGCAGACTTTAACAAACACAGGTTAAAGGGGAGTTGTGTTGTTCCCAGGGGTGTTTTGCCATTTATTTTATATATGGAGAATTTTATTGTAGGGCAGAATAAAAAGTAGCCAAGACATTGTTTTACTGATGTGCAAAGGCTAACAGACTACGGTTTATTTTCAAACAACACCAGGGTCCCTACTGGTCGTATAGTATTCTCGTTCCCAGTGCTCAACATACGGAGCAGTTCCACTGCAGATCAATGAGGGTATATTGCTTTAATGCTCCAAATTTCGTATGAATGATAGCAAGAGGGTTAAGACAAAGGTGACAGAGTCCAAGGATATGCTAAACAATAGTCACTTAATGAGGCAGCCACTTGGCCTCGAATGGTCTTTTCAGTTCTGTCCATCCCCAGTCATTACTCAGAAGTTCCAGACTCAAAAACTCCAAGTAAGTTTGCAGAAGTTATAAATGTGTGCTAGAAAAGCAGTGCTCTTGAAAATGTCATGTTGACTTCCTCGCAATAGGTTTGTTGGAGGTGGGATTTAGGGTTTTGCTTTAGGCTGTTGTTTTCCAGGCAGGCTTTTTGGGGTTGCAGCTGTAGCATGGCATTTAGCATCGTTTTCAAGTTTAATTGATCATAACTGGCATTATATGCTTTTCAAAACCCTGAAAAGATGGTATTTTGTTCTTCATTTTAAGTCATGCGTATATAATATCTGCCATAAGAACCAGAGAAGCTATTTTTAAACTGGGGTTATGGATGAGGGAAAATTAACTTTTGCTCCTTTTCTCCTATGCATGGTATACATGCCTTTCTTTTCCTAGCTGGAATGACCAAATGCTTTGGTCATTGCAAGCTATAAAAGCCAACATCTCGATTAAAAAAACCACTATGGATTTTAATTGGTAGAAGGTGGTTTCTTCCCATAATTTTAATTTTTTAAGCAGATGACTTTACAGCCCTGGAGAACGTAACAACTGCAGCACTAATACAAGCATTTCCACAGTAACCTGCCAATGTGACTCAAGCATGGCTTGACAGGGCCATCTTCAAGGGTGAGGGGGGCAGAGAGGCTCTAGAAGCATCCAGTCCGTGATTTGGCTGTAAGGGCAACAACTGTAATGCTTTGTGTAGTATGAATTTTAATGGGAAGAGGGTGTCCAGAGCCCTTAGGCAGATTTGACAGCCTTGGCCTCTGTGTGTCCGTCTTAATTAATTTTTAGTATTTGAAAACAGGTTTAGATCATCAGATTAATGACAGTGTATATGTCCAAAGTAGTAATACAATTTTATTACTGTATTACTTCATAAAATGACCACGTTTTAAAAAAAAAAAAAGGTCCAAAGATCAATTCAGTTTTTAAGTACATAAGCCAGTGTATCTTCTAACATCTGAGGACAAAGTTGGACCTTGGTAGTAAACAGTTTTCACCCTCCATAGACATCTTCAGGGATCGCTTTACTGAGAATGAAAAATCATTGATTAAAGAGAGATTAAAATAGTAGCTTAGCCCAGAAGATTTAAATTTAATAAACACACTTACATGTAAAAACCCCACAGATTCTGAAACACAAAGCGTGGCTAGTCTTACCACGGTTTCCTTCCCAGGCAATAATCCATTCTCCTAGAGTAATAGTAGTACAATAGTATATATTAGCATACTTTCTTTTTGTGTGACCCATCCTGTTTGCTTCTTTTAAGGCTCCCACTTGCTGTACTCCAAGCAGTGAAGCAGAGGATCCAAACAGTTTATCATATTGCAAATAAGTGCATGTATTGATTTAAAAAAATATATATATATTTTTTAAATCTCAATTTGTTACCTAAAACTTCAAAAGGGAATTGTATCTGATGATTCACATTCATCACCCCTTCCATAGCACACTTCTGTTTAAACCTAAGATAACTAGAAAATACAGTATTGAGGTAAAATGCTAATAAATCTTTGGCACAAGCTACTTTGAATATTCCCTTGTAGGATGCAAGGCCCTTACCCAAAAGAGACCTATGCTAGGCTTTAAGCACACACACGCTAAAAATTGTCTCAGACTTCAAGGCAGTTGACCATAATTTGATGTCAGATATCTGTTATCACCTGCTTTGTTGCAAGATTCCTTTCAATTTGTATCATTTCTGTGACTGGGATTAGAGTATTGCTAAATTCTCATTTGTGCCAAAGCTTCAGATGATCTATTTAGTTTTAAATCTCAGAGCAGAAAAGAAACACTGATTAGAAAATCAGAATGTGGCATTTCTTACAAATTGATTTATTATCGTTTCTCTGATGAAGGGAAAGGGAAAAGGAAAATTCCTTCCTATATGCATCTAATTTCTGAAAGAAAAAAGAGAGGCGATTTGAGCAGTGAACTTTGCTTTTGTTTCAGTGCTGTGCTACAAAAGGCCGGTGGAGAAACGTCTCATGAAAGTTTAGGGGGGAAAAAAAAAAAACAGGAAGAAAAACTTTTCTCAATGGAAGCTCCTGAAGATTCCTAACCTTTTGGCAAAATTTCTTATTTTGAAACACATAGCTAAGACATTCCGTCAGAAAAAAATAACTAGGACAGAGTACCACTAAATGTTGTCTGAACATTAGTACAACCTTCAAATGGAATTGTATCCATGCTTGCAGATCTTACTGTACCACATGCAACGATGAGCAGCAAGGAACGCCCTATGAACAGCATCACAGTTAGCTCTCAGCCAAAACTACTACGGCTACAGTTCGCTGATGAATGGAGTAAGAGAATGCAGAGTCTAGATATTTTTCTAGAAATTAAAAAAAACAAACAAACAAACAGAAAGCCCACAACAAAACCCTTTGGTACAGCTTTTGCACCAAGAAGTCCCCTCTGCTTCCCACAAAAGAGGGAGCACGCTTACGCAAGGCCTTTCTTTACTAAACCTGGAGTAGGGTCAGAGACTCCAGGTAGTGCCCTAGAGACTCCTCTGCTGCCGGTGGGTTGATAGTGAAATGCACTGAACTGTAACTGTGTTGAGTGAATGTAAAAAACTTGAAAACATAGTGTTTCTTTTTCCAGATGAGTCTGACTTATGCCTTTGCCATGTAGTGCATTCCTTTTTCTTAAAGCATCGAAAGATTCTGGTTTAAAAGGAACATTGTATTAATAGTTTCTCAAGCCACAATAGTTTCTCTTAAGCCACTTTCTATGGAGTTGACCCTGTTTGAGTGAAATGAATGAGAATTTTCCACTGATTTCAATGGATATATAATCAGTGGCTATAAAACTACACAAATTAATCACCCTGATGGAATTAGAGATTATACCTTTCTTAGGCACATAAGCATAACTGTTTTAAGCACGGTAACTTATCATACTATATTCAGGGTAAATTAACCTATGTCATACACAGTGTTCTAAGTCTGCTTTAGTAGGCAACGCAGAAGAGAGGTTCTTACCGCAGTCTGCTGGCCCGTATGCTTAAAAGCAGTAAACTTTCCAGTTTTGAGAGTTCAGCCAATACAGGCAATTCTTTAACAGGCTTCAAAAGGCAAGCTGCTTTAAAATTTGGCTACCTGTCTCAGAGTACTTAGCATATTCCTACTTTGCAAATATCTTCTTCTTTGAAATGTTACAGTTCTGTATCAGGATATTTCAAGTATTCATGACAAAAACCTTAAGTAAAGACTGTAGTTTTGCCAGACGAAGCTCTCTTCCCTCCTTGAATTTAAGATTCTAGGGTCAGTTTACCCTGTGCCTTGTAAACATGGTCCTCTTTCTAATGCTACTGTATAATGCAATCACTTAGGGGTCCTCACTAGCATTTGAGTATGTTGGAGTCACTTAGTACTTAGCTTAATGTTTGATTTTAGCATATAAATTAAAGAACTGTATGCGTCTCTGCTTAGAAGTAACTATATTGCTGGAGAGCAAGTTTATAAAAGTGTCTTTTATTTGCTTCTCCTTTGAGAAGCCTTGTACTTTAAAATCTTGCTGCAAAAACACTTAGAAGGTTATCACAGGTAGAGTTGTCTGAGAAAATGGACATTGTTGTTTGGTATTAAAATCATGTTTTCCAGATGTGGGCATTTGTTAGTCAGTCTGCTCTAAAATGACATACTGTTGAATCTTTAAAGCGCTTCAGTTTGGGAAAGCAAAATATGATTGGGCAAATTGCTAAAATATTTAAAGTGCAGCCTGTTAAAGCTTTTACTGTGAAGAGCATCATGTCAGAAGTTGTATGTGGTAAAAGCAAGTAATTGGCTTTCCATACTTATGCCAGTCAGTCAGCATGGGGCTCTGCTTCTGTCCCTTCTACTTCATTGCAGATGCTAATAGCAACTCCGATATTTATTTTGGAGGGGTGGGACTGGAAAGAAAAAGAACTTTTATGGATGTGATGGTGTCAGAAAGCCCTGTTTAAAATTAGACTGTTATTGGTGTAGAAAGAGTATAGAAAATCTTCAAAACTGCACCCAAAATTTAAAAATTAACTTTTTTTTCTTTTCAGCTTTTGTTTAAAAGTGCCCACATTGAAAGCATGTTAAAGCATAAATACATTTCATTTTTTCACTTTTATCCCTCTTTGTACACAGCTCTTGGGATGTCTTTCCATCCATAATTCATAATATTTTCCACTTATGTTGTCCTCAACTTGTTTTTCCCCAGGCATGACCCCTTGTTAATTCCTGGCAACGAGCAGATTGACAATATGGATGCCAATGTAAAAAAATATGACTCTACAGGGATGTTTCATTGGTGTCCAGCCAAGGACATTGAAAAGGTCATTTTGGTAGGTATTGATGATAAGTTGTGTTTGAAAAGAGGTTATCTGAACCATAGAACTGATGTCTAATGGATTAATAAATTAATCTCTGCTATCATGAAATCCAGCGTATTGAAATCAGAAACACAGTGTGGTGAAATCAAAGCTAGGATTTTGGTTAAAGAATTATAATTCTATAAATCTGTATGCCGAGGGCAACAATAAAATCGGTCCAAAATAGAACATTTCTTTTTCATAAGCTGAAATTTGCATATTGAGTTTAAATCTTTAGAGAATTAAGATTGGAAATATTTAAATGTTTACCTACCCCATTTATCTCTTTAGACAAGGCAGTAATGGTTCTAATACAGGCAAGTGTTGCTTTGAATTATCTCTTATTTATTTATGTGAATTTTGCTCTCTTAGAACTTCTCTCTCAATTTCCAACATTTCAAGATGCCCAAATAGGCCAGAGTAAGTAGTACTACTACTCTGCCTTTCTAGCATGCTGCAGTGAGCCTAGTCTGTTTGTTTCGTTTGTTTAACTGGGGAAACCATCAAACTGACTCAAGTCATTAAAAATAATTAGAAGGCCTATCACAGTCTATTTTGCTCGGTGAAAGTTTGTGCCACTTGTGTTCATGTACTCATACCTAAGAGTAACAAGTAACTAACTCCAGATCTCATACGCAAAACTGATGATATTTGAAATGAGCTCCCTGGTGGATCTTCACTTTGTCGCACTTCATAAAGCTTTTCCTGAGCCTGCTCTCTTAGATTTTCCTGCACTGTGGCGTGGTGTAGCCGGCGATGGTGACAGCCCCGGTTTATTCTAGCAATCAGGGGTTAAAAGCTTGTCTCCACTTCTCCTCAGGGGTTTCTGTAATAACCGTGACATTGCCTGGAATTGCAATATCAGTGCTTAAACAATCAAGCAAGTAAATTCCGAATTCTAGAGACTGAGCTGTGAGACGGAGTTTGGCTGAACAGCTTTAAATAGTCTGCATTTATATGTATTCAGCAGGCAAGGAGGGGCAGCCCTGCTGTACAATACTTTGTAATAGACAGAGATAGAAATCTGCCTTCATGCTCTAAACGCATTCTAGCAGACAGCCTTCACATGTTGTCCCACTTTGAAAAGTGTTTCTCCAAAAATGGCGCTGTGGAGTGCCTCATTTATCATCTCTTGGTGATGCCATGTCAGTTTTTCCCCCGACTAGCCTGTGAATCTGTAAGTCTGGCCAGGTTCTTTCTGCTTCATGCATCATCACCAATAAAGACGCTGCCAGCAAAATGCTTCCCTGCGCCTTTTCAGACTCACAGTCCACAATTTATGTCTGCATTCATATCCGTGCAAATTTAACGCGGTCCTTAGAGACCACACAAGTACAAATTAGTACATAATTTGAAGATGATGGGATTTCCCAGGTTGTCTTCTAATTGATACTGGATGATGCCTCAATCAGAGAAGAATTCATTTTTCTGCCCAAGGTCTGTTTTGGCTCTGTGAGATTCCAGCACTATCAGGTAGTAAGACCTTTTTTGACATACAGTCAAATGTACGTGGCTACATATAGATCAATGACTATAGAGTGACATTTTTTAACGTAATTTCTTTCAAGACTTGGTCTCTGTCTTGTGAAGTCGGAGTATTCCAGTCCCATAGGCAGAGGCATGGGACAATTTACACCCTTCACTTGAGCATTCGCTCATGTCTTCTGCTGTTTGAAGGGCCAAGACCACTCTCTTGGTAGAGTTGTATGAAAATCAGTGTAATTGCCCCAGAGAAATTGAAAGCTCATGTATTTTTTAACTGATGAGAAAACCTCTAATCAGAGTTCCCGTTCTTCTTACATAATGAAAACCTCTGCTGCGTATTCCAATCTGTATTGCACATTGTCATGCTTCCGTAATTTAGAAAAAGGACATATACTATGGGTAAGTGAGGGGAACATTTTGCAGTTCACCATTGTCTTAGTTTTATTCAGTGGCAAAACTTCTATGTAATGGTACTGAGTGTACAACTTCTTGGCAATACGACATCAGTGGATCTGCAGCTACTTGATGGAGTGCAATAATGCTAACACTGGCTCCAGAAATGAAGGTAATTTTTTTCTTAATGAGACTTTATTTTCATCTTGGTGTTTGAGTTGCCAGCTCAACTGACATTACCACTGATGAAATTAATGCAAAAATTTATTCTTGTCACTGAGACAAGAAGATAATTCTGAACATCATTCAAATGTTCTCCATGAGACTTTTTTCCTTCTATCTATTCAACAACTCAGGAAGTCCAGGGGGCCTAAAAAGTTAGTCACGATCTTGCACACTAGTTTTTTCTTACTGAGAGAAGCTCTGTGGAGTATGGTGGGCACCCGTTGTAAAGCAGAGCAGTGTAGAGCGTTCTTTGATTGCTTCTCAGGGTAGTAGCAGCTTGTCCTAAAATAAGAACTTTGACTCTAGGAGGATACGGTCCTCAATTCACAAGATACGTGTAATATCACAAAGCCTGCTAAGACCATTGGGCACTCACGTTTTCCTTTTCAAATTGGTCCTGAAAAAACCCCACTAGTGATTCGTCAGCTAAGGCATGGTTTTGCATCTCTTTTCTATAATCCTTCTAATGGCTAAATGCGTAGTAGGTCAAATTCTGTTCTTAGCTAAACCCATAGTACTTTGATTGTAACCAGAGTCTTAATCCACATGTGCAGAAACGTATACAGGACCAGAATGTGGTCCAGTACAATGTCTTCCCAAACACTGAAGGATTTGCAAACAAGAACGAAATTTTCTTCTGCTGAGCACGTTTGATGAAGGATAAATAAGGGTAAAATGAACAGCTGTTATCAAACCGCTTCTTTGTGCATGAACAATATTGACAGTTGTGTTTTTCCTGGTTTAAAACTCAATATATGATTTAAGCTTCCCTTTGTTTCATTTCTCCCTTGTCTTTTTGTTTTGTTTTTTTTTTTTAGACTCGAAGTGAAGCAGCGATGACAGTTTTAAGTGGGCATGTAGTCGTTTGCATATTTGGGGATGTTAAATCTGCTTTGATTGGATTAAGAAATTTAGTGATGCCATTACGAGCCAGCAACTTTCACTACCATGAACTCAAGCACATTGTGTTTGTGGGTTCACTTGAATACCTGAGGAGGGAATGGGAGACACTGCATAACTTCCCCAAGGTTTCAATCTTGCCTGTAAGTCCAAAGCCATATTGTTGATACTTTGTTATTTAGGACACCAACTGGACAGATTCGTATTGACTTTGATCTTAGGCTTTTTTACTTTTGTCTACTTATAGGCCTGAGGACCTAGATTTTTCCCTTTACTGTGTCTATGAAAACAGAGCCCTCTGAGACCTTATTAGAAGATATTTGCCACAGTGTTTGGTTCCTCGTCATCCTCATCGGATGAATTTCAGCTGCCATCAAATGTATTAGCTGTGTTATATATCGAACGTGCACTGTAGTGCACTGCATGTAGCCAGTTCTGATGTTGTGATTTCCCTGACAGAATGACAGTAGTTATTTATGACATTATTTATGTATTTATACCCACAAAACCTTTGAAAAAAATTATTGTTGCTCTATCTATATTCATAACAACTGCCTGTAGGCTGGCCTACTTTATAAGGAACATTGCCATAGCATTTCGGTTCGGAGTCCTGCCATACTCATGTATGGAAGTACAGCAAAACCCTGACCCTACTGAAATCGATGAAAAGCTCCTATTGATTTTAGCAGGGTCAACCACTAAAACCACAATTCAGAGGTCCTTTTTCTCCTATATATCATTAGCATTCACTCGTGTGCCCAAAATGTAGAAACATGAGCTGCAGGACAAACAAATGAAGCCCTCCAAGCTAGCGATCTTAGGTGGTCATAGCTATAAATGACCCACAAAGACGTAGGCAGGAGGGAAACGAGCCCACGGTGTAAGTACGAAAGAGAATGCTCTGTACGTTACAGAGTAAAGTTAGTTTGTATGTTTTTATCAGAATGAAAAATTAGGAATTTACCAGTTCTTAATAATTACCTTTCAGCAGTTAAAAAGAAATAAATCAATGATGGATGTAACCTAAACTGAATAATTGGGAAAATAGCTATAGAATGGAAAGACTGCCTTCACTTCTGATTAATTCAGGCTGTAGGTCTTTGTTACTGTAAATGCAGTTTTAGTGTTAGCCCTTGGCTTTTTTCTGTAAACTGATCCAACAGATGGTGTCACAAGATTCTCTGCTGTCACAAAAATGGTGTCAATATCAGATTTGGTCAGTTAATATCCTCCTCTTCCTGCCAATCCCTTTTAATTCCAGTCACTGTGAAGGCTAAAGACTAAGGAATCAGAATTAAATTAATAATACTGTTGAACTGTGGAGCAGAATAGAATCCAGCTACTACTTCCAAACTATCCAGTATATAATGTGTATCCATGATTATCATGCCTGTTTGTAAAGTTTTGATTCTGAATTTGAAGAGGCATTAAGGAAATGTACACCACCTTTACATTCCCCAATCAGTTTGCACCCAAATTTAAAGTATTTTTGGACTAATTTCAAGTTAAACAGCTTAAATAGTTAGTTAATGCACCTTTAAAAATACAGAATATGTAAAGGAATTGTATCTTACACAGTAATCAAGGGTGCTGAAGACCACACAGACTTCATTACTGCTTTTTCTTTTTTTTTTCCCAGCCTATCTGGTTCAAAATGATGATATAAAGTTAAAAATATCAGCATTATTCTGATCTAATTATACTAATTTAAAAGTCTGCTAAAGTTTCTGAGATCATACTGGTAGGAATTATGTGTTAAAGGGAGGCCACTGAAACTCTTTTCCTGCTTCTCTGTGCTTTGGTTCACGAGGTAAAACTTGCTGCTGATATCTGATGGGGATGTGGTTACAGCTCAACATAAAAACATTTGTTCTGCTTTAAAAAAAGAAGTGGAAATTTCATTTAAAGTCTGTATTAAAGGAGGCATTTAAGCTGCTGAGTAAACTCTTAAAAAGTAAGCAAATGCCAATTTTAAATATCCTCAGGCAGCCTTAATTCTGTCCCTTTGCATAAAATCATTAGGAGTAAGCCTTTAATTAATTACATGGTTGCATATTATTTTTCCCCACAGGATTCCTGCTTCACTTGGTGCACAGTACAGACACAAAGGGCAGAATTAAGGTGGCAGGAATAATCATGTACGAACTCTTGAGTACTTTATAACTAAATCGTATCTGTTCAATATATACTGTTTTCCACAAGGTTTCATGCCTCAAATTATTGCAAGTAATGTGGAACAGTGAGGCTGGTATCTGAAACTAGGTGGCAATCACTGAATAAGAATTGAGCTCTGCCTTCACTTTGTACATTTTAAATTCAGTTTTGCATTGAATATTCTCAGTGGAGTTCAGGAGACATTCACCATGAGCGATCAGGAGACAGAAGAGTAGGGTCTTGACTCGGTTTTATGAAAGTCACTGTGTGACAGGGGGACAGCTTAGTCTTCTTATCATCATTAGGGTATTTGGGTACCAACCCATGTGAGGCAGCAGAGCAGAATCTCGTTTCCATAAAAAATCTTTTTTTTCCTGGACCTTGCAGCCCCTGTGACATAGACTTACTATTCTGTAACTAGAGATGTGGACTGTTGGATGTGAAAGGCAAGTGTTATCTTTAAACAAAACATAATGGGTTAAGCGTCATGTCTCGTTTGTGTTAACTATGAAAAAAACCCATGCACTACCACAACATTTAATTTTAGTTATTGCGTTCTCTGATTGAGAATTGTGGAAGCAGGGAATGTTGCCTGATTTGTGCCCATTAAGATAAAGTCTTGTTTCTGTTTCAAAGGGTTTAATCACACAGCTTTGAAGATCAGTGTGTTTTCCTTCTAGAAGCACCAAAAACATGCGTTGGAAAGGATTAACCTTTTTTGTGTATTGCTTCGGGTAGAGAAAAATAGCTTTATCCTGATTGCATTTCAAATGTGTAGGACACATAATGCTTTCCTGTTTAAATTGCTATTCTTTTGCCCAAGACCATTGTGACTCGGTAGTAGATAAATAGACATTTAAAACACACCCCTTGTTATATTCAGAGAGCCAGAGGTTGCCACATGATAGCAACTTAAATCAAGACAATTTCAAGTCACCAATGAGATGTAGAATGCTGGCATTATTCCTGTTTCTTGTTTGTTAGTAATAGCTTGACTGAGGATTGAGACTGCACCTAAAATGCTGCCATCAGCACCAACTACCCTTTAGATTAGCACACGTCTCCTATTCCCTGGCACATAGTTAGACCAGCTTAATGTCAGAGCATAAAAAAGATACTTGTTAAATAATTTCCCAAAGCTCCTTCTCAATCTTTAATTTGTTTTTTCTTTTTTTTTTGTCTCCCGCCCCCCCCACCCCCCCCCCCCTTTTTTTTTTTTCTCCCGGCCCCCCCACCCCCCCCCCCCTTTTTTTTTTTTCTCCCTCCCCCCCCACCCCCCCCCCCCCCTTTTTTTTTTTCTCTGTGCCAAAGGGTACGCCATTAAGTCGGGCTGATTTAAGGGCTGTCAACATCAACCTCTGCGACATGTGTGTTATCCTGTCAGCCAATCAGAATAATATTGATGATGCTTCGCTGCAGGACAAGGAATGCATCTTGGCGTCACTCAACATCAAATCTATGCAGTTTGATGACAGCATTGGGGTCTTGCAGGCTAATTCTCAAGGTAAGGACTGCCCTATAATACTTCTCTGCAGTGCCTACAGGGGACAGGACCTGGCAGGAAGAATATCCCTCACTCAGTAATTCAAAGAGCCCTACATCAGCTTGCTTGACAGTTAAACCTGCTGATTGGTATGATGGCTTTTAAAGGGACAGTCACGTAGTTTCTCTGCTACATCACAAAGCACATCTTGCAGAGGAAAAATGAATGAACGTGATACTGGCGTTTTTCCTCATTTTAAAATGTTCCTAAAAAATAGAAAATCATTGCTTTCTCACCCGGCCCTGCTCTGTGGCTTTCTTACCAGGGCAGTTGTTACATAGCCAAAGCTAACTCACACTCACTTTGGAATACCTGAAGCCTCTGTCTAACAAGATTTCTTTTTTACGTAAAGCACATTGCAACCACAGAGAAAAAGAGCTGAGTAATACAAGCCAAAAAGTAAAATAAAAAGAACACGAATTTTAAATTGTCTTTACAGTTCCTGTGCCTTCTTGCTCAAAAAGCCACTTAGAATTAACTCAAAGCTGATTTCTTCCCATGGTTTGCAATGTACTCATCCCATTTAAGGGCATTGGACAAAATCCTTCGGTCTTTGCTGAGAGTAGGGGACTTTCATAGGTAGCCAAAGGCTATTTTACACCAACTGTGTCTGTGCAAAGCAGCTGCAAAGCAGTCATAAGCACCCTGGCAAAGACCATCAGTGTAAAAACAATCATCTTCCCATCCCTGAAGGGTCTTGCAGCTTATGCAGCTGAAGTCCTACCTTCGATAAACCTATTAAGTGCTGCAGTAAATATTCCCTCTGCATCTAGCCCTGCTAAAAATGTAGGTGTAGAAAGGATAGTGCTTTGGTCTGCAGTTTCCCCATGAGCCTGACCTAGAGATAGTTTTACCTCAAGGTCTGCGAGAGCTAAGATTAAGTTCAGTTTTTCCTCTTTACGTTCTAATCAGGAAATAGGAATTATGAGCCAAAAATCAGAGGCAGCGGTGTAACTTCTTGAATATGGAAACTTTTTGAATGTGAAAAATTCTTTCTTAGAATCAGCAATAAAACTGTGGGATTTAATACTGGAACTAACTTGTACCAGGTAACTAAAAGTTTGAAATTTTCCAAGTCAGGTTGGATAGTTCTCTGGATAACAAGTAGATTTAGAGAAGAAGAGGAAGGAAGTGTTTTTCCCATGGGTGTTTGAAGTTTCAAATCTGTGGCCTGGAAGCAAAACAATCCCAAATATTTTAGAGTTCTTCCCTTAAAAACGTGTGAGACTGACTTGCTCACACTATGATAATTTATGATTAGGAAACTCATTGCAGAAGTGGAAGACGGGCATGGAGGTTCCTTGTTTTGCTGATTTAGACCTGGGATTTGAAATTTTGTATCTCAAAACCAAATGTGTACTTTCACTACCAGGCTATCGGCTATTCTGTGGTGGGTGTCTCTCAGTCTCCTATCATACATGTAATTAAAACCATCAAGAAACAGAATCTGTTTGTCTCACCCCTTTCCTCCCTTCCTTCCTGTTCTTGAGCATGGGCAGTCTGAGAGAATTTCCTTCTTCTGCCTTTGCTCAGAGGTTAGTCGTATTTCCAACACTTGGCTGTTGTATTTTACCTCTGGGAGTACACTGGATCTTAGCCACCCCTGAATGAGGCTGGAAAAACCTAGCAATATGAGAGTCCGGTGCACCACGTGAACACATCCATCCTTGGAGGTATTCAAGACCTGACTGCATAAAGCCCTGAAGAACCTGATCTGACCTCATAGCTGACCCTGCTTTGAGCAGAAAGTCCGACTAGAGACCCTCTGATGTCCCTTCCAGCCTGAATTGTCCTATGATTCTATAATATCCAGGTTGCTGCTACAGCATAGCCCCTATAGATCAGGAAGTGTAGACCGGGACCATGGTCCAAATCCCTTCAGCCCTATTCAACGTTGCTGATGCAGAGAAGCGGAGGCACAATAGGTTAGCACATACTTACAAGTTTTGGACATTTCTTCGGGTAAATATCAGTCTGCATGCAAAAAGAAAGTGTCTCTTTCTGTAGCTTTTCTGGGGAAACAGGGCGTAACATAAGGAGGTAACCGGCAGCCTATTTCAGTTGGGAACACTGACTAGGGAGGGGTTCTTCTAAAACCAGTTGCTTCAGAAAATAATTATCTTCCCAGTAAATTCTCTGCTTATGCTATCCACAACTCCTGAGTTGGTTGCATTGCTTTCAGTACAGTAAATTTTCTTGAAAGCTAGCTTTTCTGGGGAAACAGGGCATAACATAAGGAGGTAACCAGCAGCCTATTTCAGTTGGGAACACTGACTAGGGAGGGGTTCTTCTAAAACCAGTTGCTTCAGAAAATAATTATCTTCCCAGTAAATTCTCTGCTTATGCTATCCACAACTCCTGAGTTGGTTGCATTGCTTTCAGTACAGTAAATTTTCTTGAAAGACCTTGAATACAATGGTTAGACTGTCAGAAGCAATTAGATCAACAGATAGAACAAACTTAACTGGAAGTTATATCCAATGTGACATTTTTGTCTATGAGATGCAGTTTTAACGTACGGTGGACACAACTATCATGACAATTATATAAACCAGGTGATTCAACTTCTGCTGGTCAACAAGCAGCATACTAGAACCACCTCACAGCTCCTTACTGGCAATTAAGAACCTTTATTTACAGAGCGAGGTGTCATTTTACTTTTGCTTAAACATTTGTGTATTATTTGACATACTTACTTGTCCTTAACACATTAGCTGGTAGAAACCTTAAGTGTTGCCAATCTGAATTTTTCTAGATCTGAAGGTATGATTTTGAATTAAGTCATTCCTCACCAACACCATCCCTTGAAAGAGTGTTCTGTGCTGTTCTTTTATGTGACTCCTATTCCTGATCATAGGAAACACTGACATTAGAAAATCTGGGTGTGTGGAAGAATGTCAGTTGACCTATGACAGGGTGTTGAAAAGAGAAGAAACAAAACAAAGTATGTGAACAGCCTGAGAAACATATGGGCAAAGCTGCGAGATTTTTGGTGAGGGAATTAACAGTGTAATCTTACCCTTGCTATTCTAAGTAATAAGCTAGTATAATTCTGCAGTCACTAAGCAGTGGAATCTGATATGAAAACCTGATATATAATTTATGTTTATGCCTCTGCAAAAGAAAAAAAAAAAAACAGTAATTTAATTGATAGGTTATTGAATGCACAAGGATCTTTCCAGTTTTTACCTGTGATTATTTCACTCCAGCGTCAGACAAAAGATGACACCAGTACAAGAAGTGCGCCATAAAAAGCGGGATGCAAATTTATTTAACCATCAGATAAGCCATAGTCATTGGCCAGTGCTGAAGTACAGGGCCATATCTATAACTCCTTTGTTCTAAGTTGGTAGCAGAAAAGGAACCCACAGATTTGGGGATTTCATTCCCTTTTCCCCAGAGCCTCACCCTCATCACCTACTTTAACACCAAAGTCACTCCCAGTCCTAGGCGTAAAAACATTCATCGCTAGCCAACCTTCTGTATCCATCCCAACGTGCCCTTTCCAACCAGGGTCGTAGCATTGCACCAACAACTGAACCCAGATGTAATCTGAGAGGAAAGGCCTTATGGAAGGAACAGGAGGGTGGACATACGACAGCGAGGCTTCCTGATAGGGAAAGTTCTGTAACAATAGGGCCGCCAATTCCCAATGGATTAACTGCTGAAATAATCTGGTTATATCAACAAGGGGTTTTCTTATTACTAGTTCAGGATGAACTTAATACGCACACAGCAGTTCTCATGCAGGAACAAAGACTTGCTAGTGTCTCCTTACAGTGTTAAAATATTCCCAGGCTTTTGGACTGGGTAGCATTATTAATTATCTGGACCTTCTATAAATAGTGCGACAACACTTTTGTCCTCTGGTCTACCTGCCTTGAGTCATAACTGATCCTGCCGGAATTGCATCTTAACCAACCGGAGTGCTCTGCCTTGACCTCCTGAAGAAGGAAAAAATAGCTCACAGTTCCAAGGCACAGGAAAAAAAAAATATTCTGGACCAGAGCTACAAACGACCCCAGAGTACCCAGAGCGGATGACTAAACTATTTAAGTTGTCAAATCTCTGTTCATCATCAGCTGTCTAGCAATGTATGACCAAACGCATGACTACACAGAACTATGAATAGAAACAAGGTGCCTTCCTTAGAAGGAAAAGCTTACTAACTGTTCTGGAACGATTTGCTAGTCTCCTTTCCATAAAATGTGCAATTCTACTTCAAAAGAACAAGAAACTCTTTCAAATTGGACCTGTGTTGTTGAAAGCTCTCATGTTGAAAGCATTCCCATAGCTGTCTGCATTGAACGTTTCAAAGCTGACTGGGCAACTCCTTAGGCTCGCTAGAGGTTAGGGGTGCAGACTCTGATGTCCTGAAAATGAGCTTTTGGAAATCATCAGGGCAGTTTGTTGACTTTGGGAGACCTAGATTCCAAGGACAGAAAGGCCAAAGTGTATCCCACTGAAGCTGCAGCAAACTATCGCTTTCATTAAGAGATCTCAGCTTCTGAGGTACAAAATGCTGTAAAGTCGGAGCTTGGCCCACCGCTTTACAAAATGACCCATAAACTCAGACAGTTGTCTTATTTGTGACAAGGGAAGTCCTGTTTTTATCTTGCAGTTCCTCTTATAGATGTTGACTGATTGTCTTCCTAGAAAGGTTTGTAAAGAGGTATGTTTGTGGTGGAGAAAAAAAGTCACCCTCAGGTACTGGAGATTTGTTTTTAGTCTCCCTTGATCCTTCCTGATTCTCATTCAGTCCCCTCAAATACAAAGTGAGATTATTTTATCAAGAACTATTTTGGAGAGAAGACCAAAGAATATTAGATCCACGTTAAGCATTTGTGCTCCTTAGCCATAACATTTTTCCAAAGCACCCAGGAGCCTGGGATGGGCTCTGCCTTGGCAGTTAAGTTGGGACAGCTCCAGTAATTCTCCTTTCCCTCATTCTGTTGACCTTT